GAAGGGTTGGAATCAACTTCTTCCAAATTCCTGTTAATGTGGATATTCCTACTTTTTTTCCGTGAATCAGGAATATTCTTAATGACATCTAGAATGGTGAATCCTTTACAGCTTTTCAACTTACTTTGCCCAGATCCATCAGAGACATCACTATCTTTGGCAGCTATAGCCTTATGAAACACATTTCTTTCTTTCTTTTTTTTAAGATTTTATTTATTCATTCATGAGAGATACAGAGAGAGAGAGAGAGAGAGGCAGAGACACAGGCAGAGAGAGAAGCAGGCCCCATGCAGGGAGCCCAATGTGAGACTCGATCCCGGGTCTCCAGGATCAGGCCCTGGGCTGAAGGCGGTGCTAAACTGCTGAGCCACCCGGGCTGCCCTGAAACACATTTCTTAAATAAGAAGACCTTAAAGTCAAAATAACTCCTTGATCCATGGCCATAGAGTGGATGTTGTGTTAGCAGCATGAGAACAACATTGCACATCTCCATCAGAGCTCTTGGGTGACCAGAACATTATCAATGAGGAGATATATATATATATATTAAGATGTAAGATACTTTTTTTATTTTAAAGTTTTATTTGAGAGAGAGAGAGAGAGAGAGAGAGAGAGCAAGTGAGTGGGCCAGGGGGTGGGAGGGGTAGGTGCTCAGAGGGAAAAGCAGAGAGAGAATGTCAAGCAGACTCTCTGCTGGGTGTGAAGCTCAGTCTCACAACCCTGAGATCCTGTCCTGAGCCAAAATCAAGAGTCATATACTTAACTGACCGAGCCACCCAGGTGCCCTGAGCAGTTGTATTTTGAGAGGAATCTTCTTTTCTGAGTGGTGAGTCTCAAGAGTGGGCTTAAAATATTGAGTAAACCATGTTGTAAACCGATAGGCTGTCATCTAGGTTTTGTTCCATTTACAGAGCATGGGCAAAGTAGATGTAGCGTAAACTCATAAGGGCTGGAGGCTTTTCAGAAAGGTCAAGGAACATGGGCTTCAACTTAGACACAGGCTGTCCTTTGATGCTTTGAAGCCAGGCACTGACTTCTCTCTAGGTATGAAAGTTCTAGATGGCCTCTTCTTCCAACAGAAGGCTGTTTCATCTACATTAAAAATCTGTCGTTTTGGGGCACCTGGGGGGCTCAGTCTGATAAGCATCTGACTCTGGATTTTGGCTCAGGTCATGATCTCTGTCTCTCTCTTTCTCTCTTGCTCTCATTCTCTCAAATACATAAAATCCTTTAAAACGTCTGTTGTTTAGTGTAGTCACCTTCAAGAATGATCTAGAGTTTCTGGACAACTTGGGGCAGTTTCCTATTAGCTCTTCGCCTTGTGCTTTTGTGTTACACATATAGCTTCTTTCCTTAAAGCTCAGGAACCACCCTCTGCTAGCTTCACACTGTCCTTCTGCAGCTTCCTCACCCCTCTCAGCCTTCATGGAATGGAGGAGAACTAGGCTCTTGCTCCAGATAAGGCTCTGGCTTAAGGAAACGTTGTAGTTGGTTTGGTCTTCTGTCTAGACCACTCGAACTTTCTCCGCATAGGGCTGTGTCACTTTCCTATCATCTGTGTGTTCGCTGGAGCAGCACTTTCAATGTCTTTTGTCTTTTTCACAACTTGGCTGTCTGGCACAAGAGGCCCAGCTTTCCGCCCTTTCTCGCCTTTCAACATGCTTCCTCCCTAAACTTACTCATTTCTCGCATTTGATTTAAAGTGAGAAACATGCATCTCTTCTTTTCACTTCAATACATAGATGCCATTGTAGGGTTATGAATTGGACTAATTTTAGTGTTATTGGTCTCAAGGAATAGTGAGGCCTGAGGGCAGGAGGAGAGGTGGGGAAAGGGCTGGTTGGTGGAGCAGTGAGAATAATACACGTAATATTTATTAATGAAATTTTGCTGTCTTATGTGGGCATGCTGTGGCTCTCCAAAGTATGATAGTATCATCAAAGATCATTGATCACTGACTACCATAGCAAATGTAAAAATAATGAAAACATTTGAAATATTGTTAGAATTACCAAGTTGTGGCAGAGACGTGAAATGAACAGTGGCATCAGCAGTTGATGGTGCAGACAGACTTGCTTGATGCTGGGTTGCTACAAACCTTCAGTTTTTAAAAAAAAAATAAAAATAGAAAAAAATGTGCTCTCTGTGAAGTGCAATAAAGCAAAACTCAGTGAAAAGAAGTATTCCTTTATAGGTAGGACAGTAGTTGCTATGCACAGCGGTACGTTAAGGCTAATTTGAGACTATTCATCCTCATTTTTGCCAAGTATTCTTATATATGTGATTTGATTAAATTCCCACAACACTGTGAGAGAGGCAAAGACGTCATTATTCTCTTTATTCTTCAAAGAGAAAAATCTGGTACAGAAAGGTTAAATGACTGCCCCGAGATCACACAGCCAGCTTGTATCATAACACAGACTGAGATGTTCAGGTGTTCCCTAAATATGTGGGGCTGTGGAATAAATAGTCAAAGTATTTTATTCACTATTCATTCACTTATTTATTCACTTATTTATTCATTTATTTATTCACTAATTCATTTGGGGATTTGATATCAGTGAACCACTATTGGACCACATGGGAACACAACGTCATAATTCCAGAACGAGATAGTACATTACAGTTTGCTTTGAACCAGTAAGATCGCGGATAACAGAGAAGGGCATTTCCCATTACTGATGAGGACGGCCTGTCCATAGGTCTATATATTTAGAAAATTGCAGATCTGTGGCCCTTTCCAAAATGACCTGAATGTATTTTAGGGATCTGAGTTTTCATCTGATGAAAGCTAAGTGAGATTTCAAAAAAATCCAAAAATCCAAAAAATAAAATCTACTTATATCTGCTGTTCCAACATGGTATCAAGTTTATGATAATAAGTACCTCAAAGCTCTTTAAGAAAAAAATCCATCACTGTCTTTTATTTCCTTGAAGTGGCTCATTATGTTTAGATAGAGCAAAATGCATCAACATTTATCTGGTATACCTTTGGATTTAGTTGATTGCTTGCTATAAAAGGATTTGAGTCAAAGCCAGTTTGCTGTTCACAGCCAAGGGGGCTCTAGGGATCTTGTGGCAAAGCACTTTGTTTAAGTGAATTCACTCAAAATAATGTTCAAAGTTGTTACTTTCTATTCTTTTACTGCTTTTGTCTATCAAATGGTTGAGTTTTCTGAGCAGCTCAGGGTTCAAACAGGTGAGAATGAAAAATTTGAAGACACCTAAGAATTCTTTCACTGAACCCAAGCTAAACTTTGTGTTTTGTTTTTTTTTTTAAAGATGTTATTTGCTTATTCATGACAGACACAGAAAGAGAGAGAGGCAGAGACGCAGGCAGAGGGAGAAGCAGGCTCCATGCGGAGAGCCTGACGTGGTACTCGATCCCGGGTCTCCAGGATCACAACCCGGGCTGAAGGCGGCGCTAAGCCACTGGGCCATTGGGGCTGCCCAACTCTGTGGGTTTTTAAAAAATTATTATTATTTTAAAATTGGTAGCACATCCTTAGGGTAAAAACATCCAAACAATACCAAGAGCATGTAGGTTGAGCAGTGAATCTCCTTCCCAGCCCAATTTCTACATCTCCCAGTTCCTGTCCTTAAAGAAAATGTAATTGGTGTCTTGATTATTTTCCAGAGATAATCTATGCCTATTCCTGAGTGTCTGAGTGTCTCCTGAGTCCTGAGTCCTGAGTGTCTCCCACACGGCCCAGAAAGGCAGAGTGAAGACATTGCATCAGTGTCAACTTTTTAGATGATCAGTGCCTGAACTTGTGACAACCTGCCTCAAATGCACAAAAATCACATTTAAAAGAATAGGTCACAATTTTAAAAACAAATTATTTTTATTGTGAGGATATGGAGGGATTCAGAGATTCCTACTTAAAGAAATATATTCAACAGCCGTAGGAGATGGGGAGAAGGGAAGGCAGTCGAGTGAAAAATTCTTCAGCAAAGAATTTTCTTGAATAGTAAAATCTCCAGAATGTTGTCTGGTCTCATCATTTCACTTGGATACTCTTTGAAGACTACATTCAGCCAGGGTTACTTTTTTTTTTTTTTTACATTTATTTATTTATTTGAGAGAGAGAATGTGAGCATGAGCAAGGCTAGGGGGGTGGGAGGAGAGGGGCAGCAGGAGAGGGAGAAGCAGACTCCCCGACGAGCAGGGAGCACAATGTGAGACTCCATCCCAGGACCCCGGGATCATGACCTGAGCCAAAGGCAGATGTTTAACCTACTGAGCCACCCAGGCGCCTCCAGCCAGACTTACTTCTAATAGGAAAAGTTAGAATCTTTATTTAATCATTAAAAGAAGTATAAGTCCAGCTCCAGAATTTATTAGCTTCGTGGCCTTGGGCGATATATTTATTCTTTCAGAGTCTTCTGGATATCTATAAAATGAGGACAGCAGTACGCGTCCGTCACGCAGAACGGTGGTGCGACCCAGCGCACATCGAGCGTAGCTCCTGTTACTCCTCCTGCAGTGTCACCTGTGTTTAGGGAGTGGTTGGGGTGAACCAAATACATTTGTCCTGTTGTTTGCTTGCCCATTGCATATGAAATCATAAATACTGAAGCATTTTGAAACTTTTATAAAAGGGCTAGCTAAATGCAAAGTAGTTTTATTTACCCGGGCTTTCATAAACGTATAATAACTTCTAATGTAAGGTGCTGGTGTGAAATCCTTTTTCTTATTTTCCCAGAAAAGAAGGTCATATTTGAGTTTCCTTCTTCCTTATCATCTGCTCAACATAAGCAACACATTTTAATTCCCGGATAGTCGCAGTCGAGCTGGGACGTCCCAAACCATGACATGCTGAGCTCCGGCTCTGCTGGGGCCACAGTTATTTGGATACGTTGGAATGTCCCATCCAACAGAGGACTCTCGCCTGAAAGACTTAGATGCCATTCCGTGTTCCTTAGCCCTGAGGAATAAAGCAACCATCGACTCCAGCTGCTCTAACTTTAGTTGTAACGTACTTACGTATTTCTTCCAGGCCTCTAACCCTGGTCAGTTTGAAAATGACAGTGATGCACTATGGCAGCGAGGACAAGTTCCCGAATCTGCTGTTTGTCATAGTCGGGTGGGAATAAATACAGATGCACCGGATGAAGCCCTGGTTGTCTGCGGCAACGTGAAAGTGATGGGGACCATTATGCATCCCTCGGACAGCCGGGCAAAGCAGAACATCCAGGAGGTGAGCGCGGGGCGGGCCTTGGGCGTCCCCTCTGACACCTGAGTCAGGTGTGCTGGGTGCCCCTGGATGCCGACACGCCTTGCAAAGGGCCCCTGTCCACGTCTCCTGTTGGGGCCAGACACACACAGTGCGTGACGATTGTGGGTGTCGGAGCCGACAGGCCTGTCTGCTGAGTCTGAGCTACTTCCTACCCGAGAGAGCAGATCTACCTGACGGGAGCCATGGGCAGGGACAGCACAGCCCTGGCTTCACGAGCAGGAAACCTTCGAGTCACTGTCCACGGGCCCCTGCCCTTCCTTCCACGCATTGTCAGCTGCTGGGCTTGCCCTTTCCTTCCCACGCCCTAGTGTCCCCCTCCCTGTTCATCTTCCAAGCACGGTCCAGGCCAGTTCCTGCCCGTAGTTCTGCTGAACCTCCCAGCCTCTCGCTCCTGGAGTCCTGGAGCCCTGCCTGCCGCCGCCTTCCCCACTCATCATCTTTCTCTGAGGCACAGTTGGAGGCGCGCCTCCTCCCCCTCTTCCCTCCACCAGGTCAATCTCATGGCCTAAGGTTCCAGGCCAAGACCTTCTCCTATCTCTGGAGAGACAGTTGCCGAGTGGAAATCAGAACTCAGGCCTGGACGTCAGGAGGTGCTTCTCCACTTTGGGCTCGCCCCTGCAACGCGGCCCTGGATAGTACAGCTCCACCCGAACCCGCTGCCCTCTCGAGAGGGTGCAAATGGTGCCTCTCTGATTGGTCCTACCAAGTCTTTCTTTTTTTTTTTTAAATTTATTTATTTATTTATTCATAGAGACAGAGAGAGAGGCAGAGACACAGGCAGAGGGAGAAGCAGGCTCCATGCTGGGAGCCCGATGTGGGACTCGATTCAGGGTCTCCAGGATCACGTCCTAGGCTGCAGGCGGAGCTAAATCGCTGCGCCACCGGGGCTGCCCCTACCAAGTCTTTCTTACTTTTAACCCATTGGGATAAGAATCATCTTGGGAAGTCACAAGTGCCCTGGAGACCTAAGAGATTGGGATAAAGATGCTGGTTCCTTAGCCAGAACGCTCTAGTGTTCTCCGTCCTCGCCCTCCCATTGCTTAATTCTGTTTCCCACTCACCGCTTCTTCCCCGACCCTGTCTTCTCATTCACTGGCTTCTCCTACACGCATCTTCGAGGCTGGGGCAGGATTGTGTTTTTGAACCCCCTTTCCTTAGTCTTTTTTAGCTCAAAGGAGACATAATCTGTAAATCATTGGCCATCCTTCCAGACTGCATTCCTTTCCCAGTGAAAATCTGCACTGGTTTTTCTAAACGGGCCAAGGAATGTCCTCCTTTGCTGAGCGGATTCCAAAGAATGGCTGTAATTGTAGACTTTTATACTGATTGCAAAGCCGTGGTTCGTGTTAGGAGAGCTGTGACCTACTGCCGGATGGGAACTCTTGGGGCTACAAAGTTCTCACGTACATTTCCCGATCCCAGTCCTAGATATGGTGCTTTTGACTTTCAGAGAGAGATAAAGTGTCTGCGTTTCGGATCACACCGACTCAAACTTATTTTTGCTATTGGCTATTCAATTCCCTACTAGATCTTATCCAAATGCAAATGGAAGATGGTAAGTCGGGAGAGTCCTCCACAACCCCTCCTGCTACCACCAGGCTACCACCCAGAATTCGTCTTGGTTTGAAGAAAACATATTGTCTTAAAATAACAAGCTTCCCTAGAACTTCTCAAATCTCTTCTAGGCAGCCTTCTCGTATAAATAAAATGTCACCCCAATCCAGGCTCTCACTGTGGAATCCCTGTATCCTCTTCCTGCCTGTGGCCACACGATGGGCTAAGGAGAAGCCCAATTTCTGGTGGAAGGCCAGAGTTTTAGTTTTGATTCCGGCAACCACTGGCCCAGGAACGTTGGCACAGGGATGTTCTGTGCCTCTATATTCTCCTGTGAACAGGGAAAGCTCATATTCAATTCACTGGTGTTAAATGTGTCTTTTCGGCTCACATACGTGAAGCATTCTGTAGCTTTATCATTATTTATCTGTATAAAAATGCAAATTCTATGTGATTCATTTATTAAATTATTTCATATTAATATGTTCTTAATAGGTCTATTCACCTTTATGAAATATGGGTTTCTAGAAATCTTATCGCAGAGGCTGCTTTTAGGCAAACAGGCTCAAGTGATGGAATGCCAAAAGGGCCCAGAACACTCCCCTCTCCCCCAGGCTGAGTATGGACAGGCCCGGCAGGCTACATACTCCAAAATACCCTAACTGACCAATGGGCCTCTTACAACCAGGCACAGTCACCAGAAAAGGGAAGATTCCATATGTCCCCGTACCTCCTCACCTTCCTCCTTTAAATACGGCCCCTCCCACTGTCTCCTGGCAGACAGCCTCTCCCTCCCTGCCCTGTTGGCCGCTCCCAGTGAAGGATTCAGTAGACTTCTACATCATTTGTTCTGCTTTGGGTGAATCCGTTCACACTGCTCGTGCTGCCGGCTTCCTACTCAATTGGATCAACCCCACACTTGGGGGCCCCCATCAGGAGAGTCATCACACTTATCAGTTCTGTTCACTATTACAGACAAGGGAGATGAGGGTGATGATGACAGGGTTGAGAGACACGTGAACTTCATCTTCACCTCCCTTGACTCAGTTTTTCCAACTCTTAAAAATAGCCATTGCCCTCTGAGATGGGGACTCTGGTTGACCTGATTACAAGCATGGGACTGGAGGCAGTTTCTCGTTCTTTAAGGATGCATGGTCACCAGAGCTGGCTTCCGGATGGGCTGTTGCAGGACAGTGGTGAAGCACATTGCCCAGTACTGCGATGGGGGGAAATGAATAGAAGTCGCCGCCTCACCCTGGCTCTGTGCCTCCTCACTCAGGGCAACAGAGGTGGTTTTGTGGGTATTAAGCCCACGAGCACCCTGCGTAGAGGCCTGGTGGAGGTCTCTGTGCCTATCTGGACACATATCTGCCACCCAGAGACCACAAAGCAGGTGTGATTGAAGCCAGCATCGTGGAAGCACTGGGAAAATGAGGTGGGCCTCGGTGAGGAGCGGTCTCCCTACCCAGACGCCGTGTTCACCGATGTGACTACAGACCGTAGAAGGAAATGCAGCTCTTACGGTGGAAACAGCGAAATCAGGGTGGAAACGATGTGCTGAGAAACAAAGGAGCATGAAAAACGGCAAGGTCGAGGCAAACAAAGTGAGGTGGTTGAAAGTTGAACACATCAGTCAGATTCTGTGATGAAGGCTGCAAACAAGGCCACAAAGGATTCAAAACTAAAAGCCAGGATAGCAATAAGCCAAGATGAATTGCTCGAAGATCGATTTCCCCAACCACATCAGCAGCGTGGTAAAGACAGAAGTGTCAGGTCCAAGAAGGTCACGGGGGCGAAGTCTCCCCTCCAGGCCATGAGCCAGGTGCAGAAGTTCCTGAGCTTGAGGTGACCCAGTGCCAGCCAGGCTGCTCCTGGTGGGAGTCTGGTTGCCTAGGCTGCGACTGGATGATGGAGAGCGAGATCTACCCCCCTGAACAAACTGGGGTCCCGGGGGCAGGAGCGCCTTCTCTGCGGTGCAGTTGCTGAGCTCATGTTGGAGGAGCCAAGGTGTGAAGCAACAAGACAGTGACGGCCACTTGTATTCAGGCGCAGAACTTTCCAAGACTGCGATGTGCAAGACCAAATCAGACACCTGACCTCAGCTTCTAGCTTCTGGCTCAATGCACATTGATGAGCAAGGTGCTGTGTGAAGTCCTGGCCGGTGTTTGGTTCCTGGAGGAGGAGGCCCAGAAGGCACAGCTCTGGCCTCAAGGGCTTTCCCTAGGCCACGTGTACGCATAGGGAATGGGCATTGCACGCAGCTTATGTTTAGTTCTGGAAAGTCTACAACCCGGCATTATAAACCAGAAGAGCATTATCTTTCTGTTTTTTAAAAAAATATTTTTATTTATTCATGAGAGACACAGAGAGAGAGGTGGAGAAGCAGGCTCCCTGCAGGGAGCCCGATGCGGGACTCGATCCCAGGACCCTGGGGTCACTACTCAAGCCGAAGGCAGATGCTTGACCATTGGGCCACCCAGGCGTCCCCAGAAGAGCATTTTTCTTACAGAAAATTTGCTATAGAAGGTGTTTAGATCCCCAAGCCAGCCCTCAAAATTTTCTTCAGCCAAAATCTATCTGAAGCTCAGTGATAATAATACCGTGGAACCCAAGTACCGTGCACAGCAGTACGTCTTCAGGGAAGATGCGTCAAAGGGGCCACGTTCCCCCCAAGTAGCCTGGATGGCCGGAGTGAGGGCACAGCCTCCTCTGCTTCCTGTTGGCAGCAAAGGCCCCCCGTGGGGGCTCAGGCAGGAACCACAGGGAGAGTGAAAAGTAGGCAAAGCAGGTGCAGGACTCCCAAGGTGCAGGGAGTGGGGAGCTGGGTAGGGCCTGGCTGGCTCCTGACCGATGCCCTGTCTTCGATTCTGTGAGTGTCAGGGACTGTCCTGCCATTTTACTACCTTCATTCTCTCATCCCTTTTTCTTTCGTTGAAGGTTTTGGGTGAAGTTACTCTGCTGGGCACTGCAGGGGTCCTGAGATGAACTAGCTGAGGGCCTTACCCTCAAAATCAGGACTTTTTAAAAAATTCAAACTCCAAGTAAGAAATACTCATTGGATCTCCAATGCCTGGGATAACATCGGGTGCACAGTAGCTGTTCATGAATAATTTGTTGTTGGCTTGTCCCTCTCTCTCCCCCTCTGCCCCTCCTCTGACTCTCTCTCTCTCTGTCTCCAATCAATTAAAAAAAAATCTATTGCATGAATGAAGGCACTCACCATGTTAGCTGCGTGCACAGGCCGGTGTGAAATCATGTCTGCCCCTTCCTCGCATGGCCTGCAAGATCCTCCCAGCTCTGACCTTAACCTTCACAGTCTAGTAATGCCAAATTCTGCCCTGGTCATGCAGACATCGTTCAGGGGACTTAGTCCCTTGAGACTTCGCTCATGATGTTCTTTCTGCCCAGCAATCCTGCCTTGGTGTCCCCCTTTCCATCTCTTCTCCCTACCTTAGCTCTTTCCCTAACTTCTATCTTAAATTTATTCCTATTAAATTTATTTATTAGATTGTTAATTTATTTAACAAATGTTAGTTGAGCATCAACGCCATGCAAGGAAATGTACTAGAAGCTGGTAATATGGTGGTGGGCAGGAAAGCACGGCCTTAATGCGTCTTGGCCCTCATGGGGGTATTACATGTCCTACAGGGAAGGCACATAGTAAAGGTGACACAACTAGTAGTCTGGGGATAACTCTGATTAGTGGGGATCCCTGGGTGGCGCAGCGGTTTGGCGCCTGCCTTTGGCCCAGGGCGCGATCCTGGAGACCCAGGATCGAATCCCACATTGGGCTCCCGGTGCATGGAGCCTGCTTCTCCCTCTGCCTATGTCTCTGCGCCTCTCTCTCTCTCTCTCTCTCTGTGACTATCATAAATAAATAAAAATTAAAAAAAAAACTCTGATTAGTGCTACGCAGGAAAACAACAGCTCCCATTAGCACATAAGGCAAAGGGACCCTTCCTAGTACTGGAGATGAAGAAGTGCTTCCCTGGGGAAGGGATGTTTAAGTTAGGGGAGGAGAAGGTAAGAGTGGGAAGGAGAAGCTTTTGAGGCAGGGTAAATGCCCTGAGCCAAAGGCCAGAAGTGCAAGGAGCAGAATTTGCTTGAGAACCAAAATAAACCAGGATTTCCGTGGGGCTTCACCATCTCTAGAAGCCCTCATTTATGCTCCCCTAGGAATATTTTAGGGACCTCTTGGAGCTGCCATAATTCTCTATTCATAATTCTGTTATCACTCTGCATTTCTCACATTGTAATATAATCATATGGGATGAGTCAGCCTTCCTGTCTAGACCACAAACATTTTTTTAAAATGTTCATTTAATAAGTCTAAATTTTAGGAAATTTGGAATGTGAAACCCCATAGAAGTAGTATGATACAAGATCAAGACAGTCGGAAAACCTATCTGTTTATTTTTATTTTTAAATTTTTCTTAATTTTAGTTTTGCTTATTTATTTCTCATTTGAGTATCATTAACACGCAGTTACGTTAGTTTTGGGTGTGCCACATAGTGATTCAACAGCTCTATGTTATGCTATGTCCATCACGAGTATAGTCACCATACAATGTAATTACAGCCCCATCAACTCTATCCCCGATGCTGCACCTTTTTTCCCCATGACTTCCTCATTCCCTGACTGGAAGCCTGTATCTCCCGCTTCCCTTCACCCATTTTGCCCATTCCCCACCTTCCTCCCCTCTGGCAACCATTAGTTTGTTCTCTTTATTTATAGGTTTGCTTTTTGTTTGTTTATTCATTTGTTTTGGTTTTTAGATTCCACATATAAGTAAAACCATATGGTATTTATCGTCCTCTGTTTCACTTAGTATAATATCCTCTAATTCCATCCATGTTGTCACAAATAGCAAGATTTCACCACTTTTTAATGGCCGAGTACTACTCCATTATATGAATATAGCACGTCTACTTTGTCCCTTCCTCTACGGGTGAGCGCTCGGGTTGCTTCCACGTCTTGGCTCTTGTGCGTAGTGCTATGATAAACAGGTGCATATGTCTTTTTGAATTAGTGTCTTCATTTTCTTTGGGTTCTCCATAGTGGAATTATTGGATCATATGGTATTTCTATTTTTAACTTTTTGAGGAACTTCCATATTGTGTTCCACGTGGCTGTACCAATTTACATTCCCACCAATGGTACACAAGGATTTCTTTTTCTCCACATTTTTGCCAGTACTTGTTATCTCTTGTCTTTTTGAGGCTAGCCATTCTGACAGATGTAAGGTGATAACTTATGGTTTGGTTTGCATTTCCCTGTTGATTAGTGACATCGAGCATCTTTTCATGAGTCTGTTGGCTACCAGATGTCTGCTTTGAAAAAATGTCTATTCAGGTCCTCTGTCCATTTTTAATCAGATTCTTTGTTTTCTAATATTCTGTTATATAACTTCTTTATGTATTCTAGATAGTAATCCCTTATCAGATATATCATTTGCAAATATCTTCTCCCATTTAGGAGGTTGCCCTTTTATTTTGTTCATGGTTTCCTTTGCTGTGCAAAAGCTTTTTATTTTGATGTAGTCTCAATAGTTTGTGTTTGCTTTTGCTTCCCTTGCCTTAGGAGACATCTAGAATAATGTTGCTGTGGCTGATGTCAGAGAAATTACTACCTATGTTCTCTCCTAGGAGCTTTCTGGTTTCAGGCTTCACAATTGGTAGAGCACAAATTTTTAAAGGGCAATCATTTTTTTAAAGTGCCAAAACTAGTGTAGTGCATGGTATATAGAAGGTGACGGGTAAATGTTAATTGAATAAAACAATGAATGAATGAATTAAACCAAGCTTTTGTTAACAGCAGGTATCAAAATAACAGTGAGCTCCAAATTATAATTCCCAAGAAGAACCTGAAGTAAAGTTTGCCCGGTTAGCCAGTTAAGAGTCAAGCTACCACCTTTCACAATCAGCCAAACTAGTGAAGGACGGGGAGCTTCTAATGATATTGGAGGAGCTTTCCACTCACCCAACAGGGTGGGTCAAGGAAGGAGCTGAAGGCCATGTCAGGGGTTTTCCTAAAACAAGAAAAACACAGCACTTTTGGTTACTCTAACACATGGATGAATGTCCGAGCAGTATGATTTTAATTGCCAACAGACCACGGGTTTTGTAATTGTTATATTCCCAAAGAAAACTATATCGTAAAAGAAAAAGGGTCATCATTTTACTCATAGAAAAAGGTCATTTTAAAAATCGATTCTGCTAGTACCATGGATTCATTAAAAAGAACCCAAAAGAGAACCCCTTGAATCAAACACATCTGGCTTTAGGAAAAACTCACTCTATTGCCTATTATTATCATTTTGCTGGGAACCAGTGACATTATTTTGAGGAATTGGCAGTGAAAGTTGGGAATACCTTTTATAACCTATAAGAGCAATGAACTCAGAGGAGCACACCATCACTGACCAGCGTGGTTTGAGGGAACGGCCATCTGTAGGAGAGGAAAGTATGGATCTTAGAAGGCCTAGCAGGTGGCTAATACAGGCTTGCAACCTGCCACTTGAGGAAATTTTCTACAGCAAGGTGTCCAAAATCAATGATATAGGATATAGCCATTCCTCAAAGACCGTTACCTGAACTAAGCCTTTTCAGTTTGTAAATACGTTTGGCGTATTTGTGTTTATTTGGTGTTTATACTGTCTGTTCATTTGGAAATGATCCCTTGCAATCCTGGATCCTGATTGTTTCTCTCCGAAGTGATCAGTCTCCATTCTCAGAAGGAGGATTGGCCTCTCAGAGGAGAGAAAAAAGCCAAGAGTAGTGAACAAGGGAACGTTCACCCTGTAATTTAGACATAAAAACTCTGTCTTGATTTGTCAGTGGATTGAAGTCACTGATATGGACCTTGAAGCTATGGTTTCTCTAAGGAGAAAAACATAAATTTCTCTTAGAATAGTTTGGGCAAGAGAAAGAACAGTCCCACTGTCAACATTCTAATTTCCCTGGGTCCCTTTGGGCATTGATTCGAATAGGAAATATCTAAGTGGGTGAAATCTGCTCTTCTTAAATTAGGTCGACACAAATGAACAGTTAAGACGAATAGCCCAAATGAGGATCGTCGAATATGACTACAGACCAGAATTCGCATCTTTGATGGGAATAAACACAGCCCATCAAACAGGTAGGCACACAAATTCCCTTTTTAATTTCGTGTTGTCAACTCTTCAAAGTTTAATTCCCTCGTTAGCTGGAGGTTGCATACTATGGCATTGATTTCCTCTGTGAAATCCATAGTCATGGGAAAGGTTAGAGCAATTTCTGTGTCATCCTTACTCAACACCCCCATCTCTACTCCTGCACCCTGAGGTACTGGTGAAATATTTTGAAAACCTTGCTTCTTTTCATCGGAGCCACTGTGCTCATGGGATGAGGCCTCAGGGCCAGATGGCAGCTCCAACTGTGAGGAGGGCAGCATTGGGCAGACCCGGGAGAGAGGGACATTGCAGAGTAGGTGGGTCTAGGTCAGAGAGGGGGAAAAGTGGTGTTTATACTCCAACCAGGAATCCTAAAGAAACAGGAACCGTTTAGATGGCAAATCCTCCTGTAGGAAAAGAGGAAATCAAGCTAACAAACACCCCAACCTTACTTCTAGATGCAGGGATTTTAAAGTATTTACTCAACCCCTTCCAACACTTGGCCCCCAGTCTCAAGGAAAAGTGAAGAAAATGACACCCCTCTTTTTAATCCTATAGCAGTTATGGGCTCAAAATTCTTCCTTTGCTTCAAATATATCATAGATCAAAGCAAAAGCTGAAAGGGGATAATAAGCATCTATCTGCAAAGATGTCCTGGGGGGCTGTCAACATTCCATTTTGATGTAGGCCTGGAAGGATTTTCTCCAGAAAGCTCTTTTCCTGACCAAACGTGTTGGAGTGTTTGTGTCTAGGAATGATCGCCCAGGAGGTGCAAGAGATCCTGCCTAGAGCCGTAAGAGAGGTTGGTGATGTCACCTGTGAAAATGGAGAGACGCTGCAGAACTTCCTCATGGTTGATAAGGTAACCACAAAATAGATCTATCCCCTGGAGCTATGACCCCACAGGGGAATCCCTTTTCTATGGCATCGCAATGCACTGAAACATGCAACGAGGAACAGCAAAGCTTCCCCGGGCTGTGGAGTAATTGGTATCAATTATGGCACCCTGGGCATGGGTACCAAAAAGAAGCCCCATAAGGGAAAAAGAAAAAGGAATCTAAAAAAAAAAAAGAAAAAAAGAAAAAAAGAAAGAAAAAGGAATCTGTAACAGTGATGGTTGAGCTCAGCCAGGCTGATTGTCGGAAGGAAACTGGCCTGGGGAACGTCGGCTTAACAGGAGTGCCCCTAAAATGAGGACCTGATGTTTTGTGAAACAGGGACAACAAGTTGTGATTAGATTTGTCTTAAAAAATGGAACTGGAACTCACATAACATAATTTAAGTAATTGTAATAGAATGATTTCATTCTTAGAATGATTACAGATCGAATGCAGTGTTCATTTTTCTTTCTGAGCATAGTTTTTCAACAAAATTGTGTGTTCCACTTTTACAGCACAATCATAAAGTGGGTCACTTCTACAAAGATATTCATGAGTCTCAGCCTTTTCCCCAAGGGCCTGTCTTCATTCTTTGATATTCAAATCATTCTCTTTTGAGGGGCCGTCCCCTCCTTGTAGGTGAGCTCCCCTTCACTCGGTAAAGGGATCTCAGCCTGCCCTTCCTCTGCTCACCTGGGCTTTGTTGTGTGTGACTTGAGTAGTTCTCCGAGATCATGGGTCTTAGTTCTGTGAAATCCTGCATCTTTTGCAAGGTTGGCAGATTCACTGTGCTGTTGGTTTGCTGTACATGGCACTGATGTATTTGATGCTGGAGGGAAAAAACTGATTGACGTGGGGATATTATGGTTGTAGGGAGAGGTATCTGAGTGGAGACCGATTGGTAATTTGTCAGTTCACGGGGGCAGTGCTTCTCAAACTTCAAAGTGCACATGAATCCCCGGGGCGGGGGGGGGGGGGGTGGAACTCACTAAAATACAGACTCTGATTCAGCAAGAATGAGGAGAGACCCAAGATCCTGCATTTTCAACCAGCGTTCAGGTGGTGTCAATTTTGCCAATCTTGCTGGTCCGCAAGCCACACTTGGAGCAGAAAGGAGGAGGGTCTCTTTCCGTGTTGGGCCCTTGCTCGCTCTTCTTCCTCTAAGCTCTTGGGCAACAAGCACTTAGATCATAGGCCTGGATGGCCTGCTCTGCCCTGGGCCGCGGGGGTGGAGGGGCAAAAGTCAAGTTACTTCTTCTTGCTTCCCAGACCCATCGCGAGTAGAAGCAGCTCTTTGGTCTCAGACCTGGGCTTTCACTTCCCTTGAGAGGTGTATTGTGAGAAATCTATTTTTAATAATCAAGTCGTGAAGTTTTCCAATTATTTCCTTCAAATGTAAGATAAATGATACTCAGAGGTATTCATGTAGCAAGGTCACACTCACTCTCTTGCATTTTCAGAAAGAAGCTTCCTGGGTGAGAGGAAAAACATGTAGGCACAGCTGTCAGGCTCAGGGTGCAACCTGCAGGGTGTCATTAGGCTGCCAAGGTGGGGCTCTTGGGATTACTCATGTGGTAGCAACCATGTCTCTTCTGACTGTGGCCCTAACCTGGAACAGTCAGGAAAGATTTCTGTGTTTTCTGCGTAGGTCACATCTGCCCAGGGCCTTATGATTGTCACTCTGCAGGAAAATAATTAGTTCTCTGCTGGCCCAGTGTCTTCCCATTCCCAGTTGAGTTGCATGAGGATAGTGAGGATTGTTAGCAGCGGCAGTTCTAAGCGCTGCCCATCCCCTTAACCCCCCAAAGAGGCTACAACCCAAATTCATTCCCAAGAAGGCAAGCCCAGAGCCCTGGGACAATAAGGGATGGTATTTCCGTTCTGGGCAGCCGGGGTCGTTTGTCATCTGAGGAGCAACCCACGCCAAGGCAGCAGTTTATAAGTTAAATACAACCGACAAAAGTCCAGAATGGACAAGTTGTGATTCTCTCAGTAACAGGATCTTGCCCTGATTCCATCTGTGGAGACATCACTAGGCCACACTCATTTACAGAACCTGTAACACGATGAGGGGGTGAATATCTCTGTGCTCTGAGGCCTGGCTTTCCTCTTGGGCTCATTTCCGAGGAGAAACTTCAACTGCTGGTTTAGCCCTCCACGCTGCGGGAGATCCCTCCACCCCTTATAAATACTGCACAGACTATTTCCTTTGTTCCTCCTTATTAAGGACACAACTAATGTGACTCCTGTTGTCCCCTACTCTACGTTAATTGTACACTAAGCAAGGTGTACGGAGAGCCTCTTGCTTTCCTGGCCTCCTACCCATTCGTGTGCCCACCACGTTGGCCTTGATTGCCACATTCAGGACTGCTTGTGTTTAGAGACTTTCCTAGGACTTCCTGGGCCTCACTTGCTGTAGCAATGGGTAGAGGTAAGGTTCAGTTACAGTTTCTCCCTCTGCTCTTCAGTTCTCTTCCACCCAATGTCCCTTTGGTATAAAGAAATTTTTATTGAAGCTCGAGTGCAAACTAGAAATGCACGTGAAAATGTTGAGATGCTGCACTCCGTGATTGCTGTCTTTTCCACATGCGCTTTGCAACTTTAAGCCCAAATAAGAAACAGAACCGGCTGGATCTTTACAGACTGTCCCTGTAACCAACCATAGCTAGAGACTAGTGATGTTGGCCCAATCATTTGGAGAAGAAAAGAAAGAAATCATTTTTCTTTCAGAAGAGATGACTGTGTAAGGTAAACCTCCCTTATCTGGGGTAAGTTGCCTCCTCTCATAAATTTCTCATGATTTATGTGCCCCAGTGAAAGCTCAGTAAGAGTAGGTGGCATGAGAGGGCTCTGGGCTGGTCCTGAGAGCCAGGGGGCCATAGGAGGCAGACACCAGGGTCTAACCTTGCATAAGACCCCTAGGGCTTTGCCCTTTGGTTTGTTCATCTATCTCTTTATTTATTTCTGTGATTATTTGGGGGTAGGTGGTTACATTTCTCGAGCATTGTTATTAGTAGGTGTACTTGGGTGTAAAAATATACCCAGTAAGCGTAAGAGTGGCCCTAAACACGTTTATAATTGAGTTTGTATAAGGATGAGGTTCGCTCTGTGAATAACTAGGCCTTGAATAATCTGTGTGTGTGTGTGTGTGTGTGTTTTACAAATGCATGTTATAAGCCATCCTACCGTATCTCAGTATGTGGTTACTTCTTACTCATTGATTCTCTTTTTCCTTCAACTAGAAGGAATTGTCTGTTCAAGTCACGCAGAGAGAAGTAAGGCAGGGTTCCGGTCTTCAAGCAGCTGACCGTCTAAGTGGGGTGATGAGACGAGACGCAAGGATGGAGCTATGAGTGGCAGCGTGACAAGTGCTGTGGCAGATGCGGGGCCTGTGTGTGGCCACTGGGCAGGGGTTCGCAGGTGGAAAGGAAGCGGGGCCGAGAGACCAGCGAAAGAAGACAGTGGCTAACCTGGGGCCTGAAGGTCTGGCTGAGGAGGAGGAGCATCCAGGAGGTCTTTCCATTCTTCCATTTTCTCACACACGGTATCCAATGAGACGCCAAGAGTGCTGCTGTTCTGGTTTTGGCGGCATCTCTCGTCTATCCTCTTCCCTCTTTATTCTCCTCATGCTTCCCAGTTTTCTCCCTAAAACACAGACAACACAAAACACCTCTGATCGGACAATCTCCCTTTTCCACTTGGGCTCTTCATTGGCTTATTATTGCCCTTCCACCATCTGGATGGGATCTTCTCTGACTCACTTCCGAACACTCACACCCACCCCGCCAACCCCGAGGCCCCTGCAGGGGACAACGTCTCTGCGCACACCTGCACCTCGGCTTCGCCACCCCTCTGCCATCGACTTTGCTGTCTGTCCTCACGCTCACCAAGCCTGCTCCTGCCCAGCACTGTTCCACTGAGTGTCCTCTGCCCCCGAACACTCGCCCTCTAGGTGATCTTGTCGTTTGGATTGCAGCACCAAGACTTGACCCGGCCACCCCCTCTAAAAGACTCTCGGCATCACCTGCTTTCACTGTTTTGTGACATTCAGGGCCACGAGAGGGTGTGTAGCACCTTGGCTGGAATTAGAGAAAGGTGCCTCCTCTGGCCGGTACAGACCTCCCCGGCCCCTCAGCCCCAACCTCTGTGCGGGGCACACACTGCAGACTTTTTCACAACAGCCTAGAGAGTTCTATCCCCAGCTGGAATGATCTTATTTGCCTACTTATTCTTTACCAGTCTCCCTGGTTCATTGCACGACCCCAAAAATCTTCTATAGTCTCAAAGCTTTATCTGCAGTACTTTGTTTGTGGCTTCAACCCCAGGGCTTCGAGGGCTCTAGGAATTCAACAAGTATCAGTTGAATGAATTAATGAATTCTTTGATGCTCTGATTGATCCTGTGTCTATATTGTCTCAGGCCTCCGAAAACACATCTTCTAGACTATTTATCACATCGTGTGGTCGTTCTCTTTCTACTCCGTGTCTCTCCCACTAGACTGTGCGCCTCCCAAGGTCAGAGGATGAGCCTTGTTAATCCTGTGTTGTTTAGTTCAGTATCTGGTACACTGTGGGTTCTCGGTAAGAATGTATTTAAGTTAATGGCTAAGTTGCTGAATCTCAATGAAAGGAAGAGAAGTGGTTCTATAAAAATGAGAAAATTTGACAGAAAAGTGGGAAAATGAGTTCAATTTTGAGTTTGAGATGTCAGCGGAATATTCAGATGAAAATGTCCAGAAGCAACTGGAGTATGGAAGTTGGGAGTGCAGTTGGGGCCCGAGGGGAAGCTGCAGCCGTGGGTGAAGATATTAATTAATAAGGAACAGATTATGGATACAGGTCACAGATTAGAAGCCTGCGGCCAAGTCTGGCCTGAAGACTTTTTTTTTTCTCATGACATTTAAAAAATTTTCAAATTTGTTGCCTATTTTTATTTTTTTAATAATAAATTTATTTTTTTATTGGTGTTCAATTTGCCAATATAC